TAAGTCATCTGGTATGTCCCACTCAGAAAGATGTGGAATAGGGTAGACAATCTCGCCATAAGTCTGTCGATATACTTCTGTAGTGTAGCAATCCATAGCGTATGCGCTTGAATCATCTTGGTTTAGATGAAGAGAAACTTTTATAACATGGCCACACGGATAACCAGATGTTTGCCATTTCATACAACTACACGTCTTTGCATTTTGATCGACAAGCCCATTTAAGTTATTATCCAGTACTTCAAACAAAGTGTTTGAACATGGTTCAACTCTCCATGACGTTGACTTCACAACACGTTTCGTTATCTTTTTTCTGTCCATGGTGTAACACGATGTTCCAATGTTCCTGTAAATTTAAATAAATAATACTTAGTAAAATATATGATAAGTTACGAATTTAAAGAAATATACCTGCATGGTTTCTTTTCTTGTAGTACCACTGTTGAATAGAGGCTCGAAAAAACTCCATTAACATAGTAATGGGTAATTTCCGGGAATGACGACTTAGAGCGTTGATTGATTCTGCACTATTAGACGTCATGAAACCATCTTGCTCTAGTTGATGTACTCTTGACCATCTTTCAAACCCGATCTTCTAGTTTTGAGCACACTGAGGCAAAAACACGTCTTAACAGTTTATGCTTATTAAAATCCACTTCCCGATAAGCTTTTACATCCTTCCAGTATGTCCATTTGTGATTTTTTTACCAACAGACCTTGATTTTAGATTTCTATACAAATAAACACCACAAAGTCCATGAAAAGCATCTGGGAAACACCTTCTAACAGCGTTGTCAATTGAGTTTGCCTATCGGATATGATTGTCAGATTGCTAATAGGACCTATGCAATCCCTAAGATGCCCATAAACCATGTCCATGAATCAGAGGTTTCAGATTTGCCAACCCGTAAGCTCTTGGCAGTATCCCATTGTTAGCATCAATGGCTACTGCTAATAAGTTTACTCCAAGGTATCGACCTTTTAAATGTGCTCCGTCAACTATAATAACTGGGCGCATACAATTAATAAACGAACAAATCTACAAAAATCATATACACAAAAATATAATCATTTAAATGTGAAATTGTAACTAACAAAAATGAGTCAACAAAATTATATTGATTTACTAACCGCAGCACCAATGGCGATAAACAACAACTCAAAGCGTCAATCTCTATCTGTTGATATGAGTTACCGACCCAGGATTTTTCAGCTTTAAATTGTGACAATAAGCCGACAGTTGGGCAACGATGCTTCTGGCGACCCCTCAACAATTCCAAGGATAACATTTGGCTCTCCAAGATTGAGAATATGAGATATAATCTTGAACCGAGCATTCATGTCAGTCATAATTCATGTCCCCGATATACCCTACCATCAAAACATTAACTCAGCCAGAAAACCACCCAACACCTTTTTGTTTGCCTGTCTATGGTGAGGAAAACTTGGGTTCTTGAACATGTTATGTTTATCAATAAAAGTCCTAACTTGAAACATTTCACAATCTTTTATCCTCTTTGCAATCATACGCCACATACAGTTTTTGTCAATCATACACCTTGTTTCGAAACGATCTTTGCTTGATTGTTAAATTTTTGTAGCCATCTTCCACACATTTCGTACAAAGCTATCTTCAGTCTTCCTTGTATCAAAACAATCATCTTTCTTGATACGAAATAATTTTTGTGTAACAATCAACTGCTATCTTTACCAACTCTTCTTCCGGTATCTGAAGTAATTCTGGCATATTCCAGTTATACTCCCGTGGCATTTTCTTCGGGACTTTTCTTTGGGGATTTCTTCTTCTTCTTTTCTTCTTCAGTGTTATATGAATACAGAATGGATGTTCAACATGTTCATTTACAGTCGTAACTTCCTCCTCATTATCATCAACAACATCTTCCTCGGCAACGGCTGTTTCATCATCAAAATTCGGGTATTGACCAATATCAAAATCATTACACGCAGGGTCTGTTTCTTCTTCTGAAAAATCATCAAAATCCGAGTATTGACCAAGATCAAAATCATTACACGCAGGGTCTGTTTCTTCTTCTGAAAAATCATCAAAATCCGAGTATTGACCAAGATCAAAGTCCGGGTATTGACCAAGATCAAATTTCGAATACTGAATAGTACTCACAATTTTTTTGTTGGCTCATCATCGTTAACTGGTCAATACGAAAACCGGAATTTGTGCTGAAAGTTGATTGGGATTTGGATTAGGGAAAGGTTGTGGGTTTTGAGATTGTGTTTGGTATTGGAAATGTGGTGAAACAATATTTGCTGGTGATAAAATTGTGGTGGAACCATTAAATTTTGCACCATAAACTGGGTGAAAAAACTTAGTTGATTACTACCCGCTACTGACCCAACTTCACTACTTCTAGGTTCAACAACATACAATGTAACATCATCACTTGAAACACTAATGTAAGCAATGAATCGTTCAACATCTTCATTGTCAGTTAACAAATAAACTTTACCATTTCTCTGATAAGATAGCCTAAATCCACTTAGGGGCTCTAAATTCAATTTATTTGCAACACGTAACATTAGAGTTTCATAAGTTAACTTTTTTAATGACAGTTTTAGTTGAAGATTCATTGGTAAAGGCATATATTGTAAAACATCATGAACATTCTCCCATGACCCTCCAAAACACAAATCTATCCAAAACATGATCAACATTAGATGAGTTCATTATTGTAAATTAATTTACTAAACAAACGAGCTGCGAAACTAAAAACATGTGCCGGATGGGGAAGGATGTCGTTGGATATAGGAATGGATGTCGCCGGAGAGAGTGATAGATGGAGATGGAATGAGTTGCGATTTAGGGATTTAGGTTATGAGTTGCTGCTGCTGCGTAGTTATATACCCAAAATATTTGTGTTGCGAAATTAAAACCTGTTGCGAATTCAGAAATCAAGTTGCGAATTTGAAATTCAGTATTGCGATAGTCAGAATCTCGTTGCGATTTACGTATTCGCATTGCGATTTATGTATTCGCATTGCGATTTACGGATACGCATTGCGATTTACGTATTGTCGTTGCGATTTACAAATACGCGTTGCGATTTACGGATACACGTTGCGATTTTACGTATTCTCGTTGCGATTTATGGATATGCGTTGCGATTTTACGGATACTCGTTGCGATAGTCAGAATCGCGTTGCGATTTATATGTTCACGTTGCGATTTTCATATTCGCGTTGCGATTATGGAAAATCGCAATGCGAATTTGTACTATCGCATTGCGATTCTTCATAATCGCGTTGCGATTCTGGGAACTGATTTGCGATTCTGGAGATCGCGTTGCGATTTTTATTTCGCATTGCGATTTTGTTGGTCATTTTGGCAAATCCAAAAAAAATTGATTAAAATCGTATATTATAAGGCATTTTTGGTCACTGAGGTTATTTTTTCTTAGTAAAATTGGTGATGACGGATGGTTAACATATAAACACTTTAAAATATTAGATATCTACATTAACTAAAAAAAATTAGACAACTAAACTTAACAAAAAAATAAACCAATTAAATACTTATTAAATTATAAAAAAATAGTAAAAAATATTTTCAATTCCCCCACGAGTAACCGGACATCATTCTAATTTTGATTGAATTGCCTCCAAAGTCCTAAAAGAAACTATAAATTTTTGCTTAGATAAATATATATTATACCAATGGGAAGATAGTTTTTTTTATTTATTAATATGAGGTAAGTATAAGGTAGAATTTGTTTAAAGATATTTCTTAATCATTTAGCATTGAATGTGACATTTTTAATGCTCAAACTCGAAATCAAAAAAAATAATAATTATTTTACCAAGTCGTTCAAATTCTTGCCACGAAAGAAAGTTACAAGAAACAGCGTTTCTATTAAAAAAAATGCAGCCAGCCCATTTGAGGTATTTGTTGAAATTCATGTAATGTATTTTTGTTAAATGTAGTATTGGTACGATATCTCTTTTTTAATTGAGCAAGAAACAAGAATGGTAGGTATTTGACCTAAATTCTTATGCCATTAATTCAAGAGGTTGACAAGAATCTTGTCACTTGCAATTTAGTATATCTCAAATTGGATGATATTAAATCTAAGAATTTATATAAATCATTTATTTATTTTTTTACAGACTCTAAATCTACTCTTTTTTAAAGGGAAGAGAAGGGAACTCTAGGAGAAAGAAAATAAGTGCTTTGAGTGAGTCTAGAACTCATAATCTAAAGAAATATAAGGGAATAAAAATAGGGATGGGCACAAGACTCAAATCCAACCAGTTCCGACTCAATCCGATCGTGTTAGATTTTTCTTTAAAAAATTAGATTCGAGTTGAGTAGGATATTTTTAGAGGTTATGTTCAGGTCGAGTTTGGGTTTAGGGTAAATAATATCTAACCCGACCAAAAAAATAATTTTACTTTATATATTTAGGGATAATTACAATAATACACCTCTATATTATATTTTTTAAACTTTTTAAAGATATAAGGTAAAGTTTTAAACCGTCTTTAGAAAATATTATATTTGATAAATTTTATAAAAGGTTAGTATCTACTTACATAATGTAAAACTATTTATTTTTACACAATTGGATGAGTAAAAATAGCTAGATGAGATTAACTTCTTATTTTTTTAGTAAATATCTTTTCATTTATTACTATTAATCTCAATCATCTATTTTCACTCATTCAACGATTTTAAATGTGTAAAATTAAAAGACTTTTACGTTGTGTAATATAATTTTTATTAATTGATAAAATTAAGATTATTGAAGGATTTTTAAACAAATACTGAACATTTATTTAAAATTCAATTTATTATCATTTTTATCTCTAAAATAATCGATAAAGGTTCTTGATTTAAGATTTTTAAAATCATTTGAAACTAAATGAAAGCATATGCCAAAGGATAAGTTTTAGCAAAAATCCAAGAAGGAAAGACTTGGTAAGCTATCGGCATTTTGTTCTTGCAGACTGAGTCTAACGGGCCCCCATCATTATTTACTCTAAAACAATCCGTGCTATGAAGCTTCCGCTCAATGTGTGGCCGCCGTGGAAGAACATATTAAAGCACCGATCGATCTCCGCGTATAATCTAGGAAATACGGTGATGAATTTGATCAGATCAGTAGTGGTTCTGCAGGTGATGATCTTGCTTAACGTTATATTGACGGTAAAAGCTTCAACTCCACCAATGGCAAAACCCGGCTGCCAAAGCAGCTGCGGCGATGTTATCATCCCGTTCCCGTTCGGTTCCGGCGGCGAATGCAACATCACCGAAGAATTTTTCATCACATGTGACACAAACTTCGTACCCAACAAACCATTCTTGACAAACAGTAACATCGAAGTGCTCAACATATCTCTCGACGGTCAGTTGCGCATCCTCAGTAACTCAAGCTATGATTGTTACAACACATCGGGTGACAGGGAATGGTTTTATCAGTGGCTCCAACTTTCCGAATTTTCAATCAACAGTAACAAGAACAAGTTCACTGCAATCGGGTGCGACACCTATGCTCGTGTGGAAGGTTTCCTCGGACAACGTTATGCAACCGGCTGCTTGTCGTTGTGTAATAACATCACCGATGTTTCAAGCGGGTCTTGCTCTGGGATCGGCTGCTGTCAGACGAGTATCCCAAAGGATGATGATTGTTACAACACATCGGGTGACTGCAATCGGGTGCGACACCTATGCTCGTGTGGAAGGTTTCCTCGGACAACGTTATGCAACCGGCTGCTTGTCGTTGTGTAATAACATCACCGATGTTTCAAGCGGGTCTTGCTCTGGGATCGGCTGCTGTCAGACGAGTATCCCAAAGGATGTGAGGAGCTATAACATCACGCTCGAAAGCTACGACAACCATGTCGCTGTATTGCCCGAAAATCCTTGTAGCTATGCATTTGTTGCAGAGACTGATAACTATACCTTCTCTAGTTCAGACATCCGTGGTTTTGATTTTCAAGACAGGAGGTTTCCGGTCACTCTGGATTGGAACATCGGGGATACGAGTTGCGATGAAGCGAAGACGGATACTGTGAAATTCGCATGCAGAGAAAATAGCGCTTGTGTTGATTCGGAAAGTAATTCTGGATATTTCTGCAAGTGCTTTGACGGTTACATGGGGAACCCTTACCTCCCCGGTGGGTGTCAAGGTAACTATATCAATCAATATGTGTATATATATACCGTAAGGCTTATTTGTACTTTCTGTCACTAAAAGTGATGTTATTTACTTCGTATTGATCTGCAATTTTCAGATATAAACGAGTGTGAAGCTATGAATCCTTGCAATGGAACTGCAAGATGTTTCAATTTACTCGGGACATATAATTGTTCATGTCCGGTGGGCTATGAAGGTGATGGTAGGAAAAATGGAACGGGTTGCAGTTTGCCGGAGAAGCGTCGGTCTAACAGATCTCCCCTTATTGATGTTGCTCTAGGTTAGTAATTTACCTGCATAATTATAGAATTATTTTCTACTACATAACTGTAATGTAGAATATATATGGCTTGAACATAGGTACTAGCATTGGGTTTCTTGGTCTCATCCTGGGAATAGTATTGGTGTACTGGGTGCTCAGGCAAAGACAGATTACCAAACTTAGGGAAGAATACTTCCAGCAGAACGGTGGAATTTTGTTGCGCGAACAGCTTTCGATACGACAAGGTTACCGTGAAGATGTTAAGATATTTGCAGCTGAAGAACTCGAAAATGCCACAAACAATTACCATGAAAGCAGAATTTTAGGACAAGGAGGGCAGGGGACAGTTTACAAGGGAATATTAGCTGATAATCGAACAGTTGCGATTAAAAAGTCGATAATCGGAGATCCTAGCCAAGTTGAACAATTCATTAATGAATTAATGGTGCTCTGCCAAATCAACCACAGGAACGTTGTTAAACTCCTAGGATGTTGTTTGGAGACACAGGTTCCACTTTTAGTCTATGAATATATCACTAATGGAACCCTGTTTCACCATCTGCATAATGATGATGATGTCTCTTATCTTCCGTGGGAGACTCGTTTGAGAATCGCCACCGAAACGGCAGAAGCGCTTTCTTATTTACACTCCGCCGCTTCTGTTCCGATCATTCATCGGGACATCAAGTTGGCTAACATACTGTTAGACGATAATTACACCGCAAAAGTTTCTGATTTCGGGGCTTCAAGACTGATCCCATCCGACCAGGCACAAATAACTACAATAGTGCAAGGAACTTTCGGCTACTTGGATCCTGAGTACATGCACACAAGCCTTTTGACCGGAAAAAGCGATGTATATAGCTTTGGGGTTGTGCTTATAGAGTTACTAACAGGACAAAAGGTAGTCTGTTTCAAAAGATCTGAAGAAAAACGAGTCTTGGCAATGTACTTTGTTTCATTGATGAAAGAAGACCGCCTTGTCGAAATTCTCGATCATCGGGTGGTTAACGATGAAAACATTGAGGTGCTTAAGGAAGTTGCAGCTTTGGCTAGGAGATGTGTGAGAGTGAAGGGAGAGGAAAGGCCAACAATGAAGGAGGTTGCCCATGAATTAGCAGGAATGAAAGCAATGCCTAAACATCCTTGGAGTGGAAGTAAGTTAACCGGAGAAGAAGCTGAATACTTGCTGGGTGACTTGATCAGCACGTACAATGATGGTGCAACGAGCAGCTCGATGGGGTACGATAGCATTAATAACAAAATCACGTTTGAACTTGACGGTGCTCGTTGATTATGGAATTTAGATTTTCGTTTTTACAGAATACACTGTATGATTTCCCTTCATTTATTGAAGTATAACGTATGTTTTGAATGATTAAATTATTAAATTGCTGGTTGTTGAAGATGACAGCGTCATTTCAATTGCTAAATTATTGTATGAAAGTATTTTTTTTTTTCAATAACGGAACAAGATGATGTAATTCAAAGTCAAATGCGTATAAATAAAGGGGGAACGATTTGGAACTATTTAATTCTGAATGATGATGGCAAGATGCAGGGTAAGAAATGATAAATTCTCAATCAATAGTTAATATCCGAACTATGGTTGTTTATCGAGCGAGTCGATCACGAGTTAGGTAGTACTCGACTCGTGCTCGTTAAAAAAAATTGTTACTCGAATCGACTCGTTGTACGTTAAACTTGTTAAAATTTTGCTCGACTTGTGCTCGTTAAAAAAAACTTGTTACTTGACTTGTTGCTCGTTAAGCTCACCAGAATTTTTACCTTATTTTTTAACTATAGGAAAAATCTAATAATACTATATAGAGCTTAATATAAATAGAAATTATCAAAATTAACCCCAAAAAAATTATCAAAAGAGTGTGTAAAGTAATTTGAAAGTCTAAACTCTAAAGTAGCAATCCACAAATACACCAAACTAATAAATTAATAAATTCATAGATTAGTAGTAATTATTATTTAGTAATTTATCATATTTCTTATTTTTTATTACCAAATTAATAATTATCATTTAGACTTTCTTTATTTGAATGAAATAATTTTTTAAGGTAACTACTAAAAAATTATAAAAAAATTGTTTGCGAACTTATCGAGTCAAATTGAACCTTGCTTGAATCGACTCGTTAAGATCTTGAATCGAGTTCGAGTTGAGTCAACTCAAGTCGAGCATCGACCGAACTTTGAGTCAAGTTCAAACAGCTCACTAGCTATTCAACTTATTAAGCATCCCTAATCCAGACAGAAGATGAGAAATGAGAATTTTTAACAATAAATGAATTTATTAAAAACCTTATTAACGATAAATGATCAAGATAGGAGCCTTATTAAAAATCTCCTTAATCCTAAGTGGAGGAAAAGATTGCAACCTATCAAGGTACAAATGACCAACACCAGGATACAACACGCCATACCCCTGTACCACAGGACAACCACAAATGTAATAGAATCCGATAAACAATCACTGGGCTATCACACGAGCACAAAATAAAACACAACTCCTAACAACCACACCCTGAAGCAATTAGCATTAATACGCACATACAAAACTTGCTCCAGAACCTCAAGGCAGCCACTCAATGCCTACTATTCCCACCACGCTTTGAACAGCTCAAATGATAATTAATGTGTTATTTTTTATACCGACAACTCTAAATTTTGTCCCTCCATTATTTACTCGTCTACAATTTCAAGTGTGTGGTATACTTTCACATTTTACGGATCAAATAGAACATGTCTTGATAATGTCAATTGTATTATTGAAAAAAGATATTTTTTTTATTCTTGATACGTGATATAGATATTTTGAAGATATATCTCAGTATCGGTATTTTGGGAAGAGGCTACCATATTACTAATATGTGCTATCGAGAATTTGGATTTATTTTTTACGACTTCCCTTGTATTCTATTAAGTATTGTAATTTTGTAACTTACCTGTCATCTGTCATATAATCTGAACAACCCGAAATAATAATACAATCATTTTCATAATTGATTTTGTCAGATGTTTTCATTGCGAGAGCTAGGCCTTCCCCTTCTATTGCAAAAATGCCTCTCTATCCCATTCTTCTTCATTGTTAGAAGTAACAACAATATTCTATATATTTTTTTTTCTTTAACTAACAAGCGTTAAGGACTTTGAGAACGAGTGTTGCTAAACGGTGATTAGAGGTGCGAGGTGTTTAAGTAGAAGTGGATACTTTAGAAAATGAAAATATTATCTTGGAACATTTGTGGGATGGAGGCAGATGTTAAACTATCAGAATTAATGGCTTTAGTGCGGCTTCATAGAATTGATATGTGCTTGGAAGGACTTTGAGAACATGAGTAAACAAGTATATTCATGGGCTGGTTTTAATCTTAGGCGTCTGAGATGTAAATCACATGGTAAGTTGTTGAAGATTCTCTCGTGGAATATTTGTGGCATGAAGTCGAATGTTATGCTGTCAAAGGGAAGGAATGTGGTATGAAGTACAGTTGATAGGTGTTTGTATTCGAGAAACCAAGATGGTGTTGATGATGGAAAAACAGTAAGAAGTACTTGGATTAATGATGATTTTGATTTCAATTTCTCTTCGTCAAAAAGGAAGGTCAAAAGGAGTTATAATTGTTTGGGATAAAATGAAATTTTAGAAGCAAGTTGAGTTTGTGACTTATAGTTCATTGCCATTCAAGGTAAATAGACAATCATGATTAACGTTCATGCTCCATGCGAACTTAGGGACCAAAGACGTTAAAGGAGCTTAGGGAGCTTGGTGGTAGCATGTCAGGCAAGTGGATAGTTGGGGTGATTTTAAGGTGGCGATGAATTGAAGGGAAATGATTGGTGCTGATGATCAAGTTATAGAATCGCAGGATGTCATTGAATTCATGAGTCTTGGTTAGTGGGGTGGTGGGATGAAAAGTTCGGTCCATTTTTTGGTGGCGTATGGCTTCATAACTATATTATGGATTAAAGTGTTAGTGTGGTAGTGGGAATTAAAGCTCTGACCACAAATTTGCTTGACTGCATAGACTGTAGAAGGTAGTAAGTGCTGTCTGGGTGGGTAGATACATTGGCAGAAGTTGTGTTTGTTGATGATAAGGATGTTGGGTAGATAAGTTAGGTGGATCGCATAATGATCCATGGTTGCAATTGATTTTAGAAATATTATTTTAGCAGTGGGCAACGAATGTCATGTGTCTCCATCGGAAAACTCACCGGGTTCTATTCATCGGATTATTGGGGATGCACGCTGGTATTTCTTCTGATAAGGTGTTCGTTTTTCTTTCGGTGATTGGAATTGTTAATGAGAATCAATCAGATGATGTGGCTACATAATTTCCAGCTGGTATGAAGAATCTTCCTGATGCGATTCATACTTCGGGGATGGTAGCTTTTATTGATGGCCATGTTGGAAATGATCTTTTAGACGGTGTGAATATTGACCCTGTTGAGTTTTGCCTTCTAATTCGATTTCGGATTCGGATTTTAGAAATCGTAGGAAAGTAATCCTGAAGGAAGCAAATCAAGCATGAAAGTTTGCAGAGAAGCTTGGTTTTAGCGTCAGGGGAAACGAACAAGTTGTGCTTGAATTTGCGAGGTTGGATGGTAAGTAGAAGTAGGTTGTAGTTGATGTCTCAGTGGGTGAATGCATTGGCGAAAGTTGCATTTGGTGATGATTAGGGTGAAGAGTAGAAAATTTAGAAGGTACGTTTTTTGATCCATGCTACAATTGATTTATGAAGAGGTGGGGTTAGTGTATTGTATGGTGACCCTTAATGTGTAAGGGGAAGAGTTGGGGGTTTAGTTAGTGTTCACGCATGATCTTGGTTGGGTCAATTTTCTCACAGTATTGAATCATGCTCTATATTACTCTTGGATTCTAGATGGTTTGAAAATACTATGATCTTTGTTTCTGATATTCTTTGGTGAGTGTAATAGAACTATTTCGATGAAGTTTCTCAATGATTGCAAGGCTACAAATTATTTGGTGGATCCTAGTAGAGGAAATATGGAGGATTTATGATTATAGAGCATCCTCGTATGATTATTGAGCTTAGACTGTAGTTCGGATTGACCTTGAACTAAAAATATTGAAAGTCTTCCATAGCTTGACAATAGAATTTGTCGTAACCGGTTTTTGCCCGGGTACAAAATTTTTATTTTGGCGGGAAAGGTGATGTGAATAAATGATTTTTAAAATGTTTTGAGAGTCGCCATCGGTTTTTTTGGGTCAGGTATGTCGAATACCTAAAAATTATCTTTTAAAAGAGTTTTTAAGAAAACATCAGTTAAAAGATGAACTGATCTGCGTTTATAACCAAAAATTCATTTTTTTAATAATAAAAAATGGATTCGTGGTCGGTTATGTTTAGGGAATGATTAGCACCCCTACAACGCCCAAAATTGGTACTTTTTAATTATACATTGTCTCTAATAATAGAATTTAAGAATTCAAATATATATTTAATTTATAATTCTTGTTATTTCAAATTTATTAATACTATAAATTTTAAGAAAATATTTATAAAAATATTTATTTATTTAGAAATATCAGAAAAGGACATCTAGGTGTCTTAAGACAGCTCTTTTCTTCGATGACAGCTCTTTTCTTCGATATAAAAAATAAATAAATATTGACAAAATATTTATCTAAAAATAATAAAAAATTAGATTAATATATATAATTGATAAAAGTAAAATATTTATTTAAAAATATCAGAAAATGGACATACAGTTACTTTAAGACTGTCATTTCTTAATATTTAAATATTAAAAATAATAATTTTTTTCTAATAAAATAAAACAATATGTGTTTTCTGGTTTTTATAAGTAAGATATTTATTTATTTTTAACATATCAGAATAGGACATCTAATTGCTTTAAGATTGCCCTTTCCTTTGATATTAAAAATAAATAAATAATATTATTTAAACAAAATATATATATATATATAATAAATATAATAATGAAAGTAATAATAAAAATAATATTGCAAATAAATAAAATTAAATCAACTACTAATAATAAATGAAATCAAAACTATATAGTAAAAAGCTAATGATTAAATTAGAATATATTAAAAATAAATATCTAATTTGTAAATAACTATTTAATATTTCAGTGACGAAACATGTAATTTTTCCTATTTTAATTTAGTCCCTAAAATAAAATTATATTAAATTCGAATATCAGATTAAAATAAATTAAAAACATGCATTGGGGATTAAAATATTAATTATTAAAATTAAAGGATTAAATCAGTAATTTACCTATAATATTTATATAAACATATTAATGATTAAATTATAAAGTA